AACGTAGTTGTTTAATTCTAGAAATTAGGCCCTGTAGTCAATTGGATTGAGAATTTTTTGAGGAAGTTCAGCAAGACTGGTATTTGTTGGGAGTGCTTCTATTGTCCACAGAGGGATTTGAGGTGGTTTACGTTCAATGGTGAGGCGTATTTTGGAGATAGTAGTTTGGAGGATTTTGATAAGTCTGATATGAAAAGGGAAGGGAAATTTGGGCTTATTGCTGTAGAGTACTTTCCATTGGAGAAGATATTATTGTAGGTAGGATTATTCGGAGTGGATTAGATTTTTATTGCGTATTTAAGAGTTAGGAACTTTCTTCTGGTTTCAAGGGCCATTTCTTTGGCTTCGAATAGTCGAAAGTTCGGCATGCTCCTGTGGCTAGTCTTAAAGCTGTACGGGAGATTGTTTCTATTATTTTTTTCATGTAGTTTGACTGAATTATAAACGCTAGAGCCGTAATTTAGTTTGGATCGAATTAACTTTCTGTATGTTTCTAAAACAGTGTCTTTATCTGATTGAATCTTTCAAGGATTTTAGACATGGCGCCCAAGATAGTTTTTCGTCAAAAATAAGGCCTAATTTTCTTATGGTGTCTGCGAATTTTATTTCAATATCACTCAGATGTAGTTTAGATGGGAATTGGAGTTTGTTTTTCCTAGTGAATAGGATACCCTGAGTTTTTTGAGGGGAGAAATGTAAGCCAATTGTTCTTGACCAGTCCTGTGGAGTGTTGATGGCTGTTTGTAAGTGTTCATTTATGCAGTGGACATTTTCTTCACTGCATGTGATTGTTATGTTGCCCGCAAATAACTGAGCTTTTTTTTAGTACTTGAGATTGAAGGTAATGTCGTTAATTCCTATTAGAAATAGTGTGGTGCTCATTATTGATCCTTGTGGGACTTCGTTTTGGATTGTAACAGATTGTTTGGGATGTGACAGAACTCCATTTACTCTGACTTGAATGGATTTATTTCATAGGAAGTTGATTATGAAGGATAGCATATTACCATTCACTTTTAACTCGAGGAGAGAACTTGCGATTTTGGATCTCCAGATTGTGTCAAAACTTTTTCAATGTCGGGGCATACGCCGGCTAAGTATTCTCCATTGAGGAAAACGTCACAGATATTAGATTTCACGTTCGTTAGTACATCAATGGTAGAACGATGGCGTCGGAAATCGTATTGGTTTGGGTTTAGAAGTTTCTTTAATTTAAGGTACCATCGAAGCCTTCAGGATTAAGATTTCTTCAAACAGTTTACACATGGTATTAGTTAATGTAATAATTGGGCGATAATTGTTTGAGTTTTGTTTGCTTTTGTTTGGCTTAGGAATTGGAATTACTATTGCTTTCTGTCAATTTTCAGGAAAGACTTTGTGGATCCATATACTACAGTTTAAGATCTTTAGCAGGTAGTTTATTCCAACTTTTGAGAGCATTTTTAGTAGCGGGCATTTTTTTTGTTGACGTAAGGATAGTATATTTCCTTGAATGTTGATGGTGAGCTTAGCAATGGGTGAGCTTAGCAATGTCGATCTGATCTTGGTATCTATAGGTATTGTTGTTAGTGGGGTATGGTGGGCTGTTGTTTTTGTTGTTTAAGTTTTCTTGGAATTTTTTGGCTAGAGTATTAACAATATCGTGAGCTTGAGTTACAACCTAGCCATCATCGGTTTCCAGGAATTGAATATTGGTAAAAGATTGAAATCCCTTTACCCGTTTGATTTTTTTTCCATACTTCAGATATTGGAGTTTGGGAATTTATCCATGATATATAATTTTTCCATGATTGTTTTTTATTTTCTTTAATTGTTCTTCGAAATTTAGCGCGTTTCTTTTTGAACTCGGTTCTCGTTAATAGGATGTTTTTTTTTTTTTACTTGAATGCATGATAACTCTCTTGCATGGCAATTTTGCATTCTTCGCTCCACCACGGTACAGATCCTCTTCTGATTTTTTCCTGTCTGGAAACTACAAAAACTTTGTCTGCGGTTGATGTTATGGTTTGTTGGAATTCGTTTATTATTGGAATTATTATTATGTTAATCTGAGCTGGATCAAATTCAGAGTCTGTTTCTTTTTCTGTGAGTTCAAGCGTTATATTTTCTTGGTATATTGGCCAGTTTCATTTTCTTATATTCCATTTTGGTCTATAATATGTTTGAGCTGAGATACTGTCTTGAAGCCGACACTAATAGTATTATATTTCTACTTTTATTTCACATAAATTGCAAATTGTATTTTTTCGTATTTACTGGAGACATGACAGGTTAACTCGTCATAATTCATTTGTAATGGCGCAAAAGAATGCGCTTTTTGGTAAGTTACTTCCCATATTAAAATATTGTCTATACATTGCGATAAAATGACAATAACGCTAATTTTGGTATGAACCATCATTTTAATCGTAGAGTTAGGTTGCTGACTGTTTTCTAACTGTTTCTTAGAAATATAAACATTACATAAACATTATAACTTGCGTTTTGGAAAAGGGAAAACACATTTTCTTCATCGTTTTCGACTCACATTTTCTGAGACATTATAATATTAACATTATGGTATGTTATTCTTCAGTTTGACAATTTAAATTTGTACACTAATTTCATTCCAAATTTATTTTTAATTAAATAAATGACTCTCTGCAAACTTTACTTACCAAAAAAAATTACAGCATTTGAAAATTACATATAATTTCCGAGTTAACAGACAGAATTATTTAATAAGTGTTTAAAATGAAAGAGTTAGAGCCACCTTGAGAGTGTGAAGCAACAAGCAATAGAAAAAACATCAAGAGTCCATAAAAATTTATAACTATGACATTAGATTATCATTCTATTCTTAATTTCAAGACTTTATTTGTTTGAAATAATGAAGCTTCAGAATCGAAAACATAAATTACATTATAAAAACTGTTTATATCCAAAAATAATTGTAATTCAAGTAATATTATTTTTCATTTATTTGTGATTTATGAAAAAGAAACATACCTAATATGGCTTGTCAACTGTGGATTAGATGAGGTGGAAATGTAATCAGATATAGAATTATAAAAAAATGTGTGTAGTCGGCATTTCTAAAAAAATATGTAATTTACATAAATATATAAATAACCTCAGAATTACTGGGACGAAAATGATATTAATGAAAATAATATTCTTAAGAGAATAAATCTAGTTTTGAAAGAATTCACGTAGATGTAGTTTTGAAAGAACGCAAAGTACTGAAAAAATAGAGTCGATCAATTGAAACAAGAGAAGAATAAATATAATACTCTTCGCTTGCAATTTCATGCGGAGTGTAAATCATTATTAAGTTACAATTACAAAACATTACAAAATAAGCTTCAGGTAATATACAATCATAATAATATGTTCAGGCATTTCTATAACAGGTACCTGGGCTAGGACAATATCCCGCAGTAAAGTCAGGCGGATGGTCCTTCTCCCGAAAGAATTATAGGTCATTGTGCCTACTGAACAAGGCAGGCAAACTATTTGAAAGAATTGTTGCGGTTTGTCACGTATAGATCAGAACAAATATTTGAATATTTTAAAAGAAAATTTAAAAGACAGTGCCAAAAAATTACATCTTGAAGGGACGTTTATTATTCCAACATGACAACGACTCTAAGAAATGGGTATTATAAAACACTCCCTTCCACCACACTCTACCGAAACACTGTGTACAAAAATAAAGTCAGTTTAATTTGGTCTTTCGTTTGATTCACATCTTTTGTTTCATCTACGTCCTGCACTCTTTCGTTCTCTGCGGATAGCAATAAGAGTTGAAGTGACATCCGAGTAGAATAACGCTTTGAAGTTTTTTTTTTTCTTTGTTTTTCGAAAGCTTAGTGCAAGTTGAGAAAGTGTTTTCTTCAGTGCGGTTCCTGCGCCGCGGACAAGAATTACTTTATCGTTTTTTTTTTTTTTTTTTTTCCCTCTTCGACACCGTAACAAATTTTGGCGATCCTGTCGGGATTCAAAGGACTCATCTCTAACAAGCTTCTGACCTCGGATCTGTGAAACATCAAGAATCTGCAAACCAAGTATTTTTAAAGAATCTACGTTAGGAAGCAGGTAAAAACTGGACCATAAATCATTCTCAACATACCGAGAACCGAGTAAGATAATTTCCTCTACGGAGGAGAGCGAATCTGATATCGAGTCCATATTAACCCGAATCAACACGACAATGTAACGAGCATCATCTCCCGACCAAATTGTTGGTATCGAAGCTAGCCTAAGAGGAATAGCTAAGTCTTTGAACATTTTGGAGATTGAAAACTCTAAGAGACGAGAAGAAATTTCTCAATTATCGAACTTGTAGCGGCTAGCAGATGTCGGAGAAAAGACGTTTTCTCAGACAGAAAAGTTAGGAGAATTTACGCCTAGGCTGTACGACGAGGCCAAGTTTAGTTTTTACAGTGCGTAAGACCAGACGTCCGCACTTATAGTTTTAGAAATATGGCCTCGATAGCATTTCTACGAAGCGTCGTAAACTCTTGGATTCCTAAGCGCCACCTAGATCAACATCTGGAAAACACTTGAAGAAAGTGAGTGAGGCCCAGAGGAAACCTTCCTACACCGCCACAATTCAGGAAAATCAGTCCCGACGAAATTGCAGCCCCACTCTCAGAGAAAATGCGCCACGCAAGGTTAGGCACATTTAAGTAGGCGGCACAATTTCGTAGCAACCTAATCGGCTAAAACTCAAAAACGATTCAGCCAATTAGGGATGTCCGAGACGGAGACCGAGTTTTCCTCGGAGCGAAGAAGCTGCGGAAAAAGAGAGAAGAATTCGGACAGTCAAGAGTGACTGATAAAAAAACTCCGCGTCTTACGAACTCCGCGCCATTTCGTGTAACATTGTAAATAAACGTGTTAACCACTAATATGAGTCTACCAATCGTTCACCTCGCACTATCCAGCAAACATCCCCAAAATTAGTGATACCCACGTGATCGATGTATAGTGTAGTAAACGATTCTAAAAGACTCGATATGGCGACAAGAAGTGCTACACGTGCTACCGATGCGGAACATGCGAGAGAGCCGCAATTTCATGCGCCGTTATTCCAGTCGGAGAAACCTGACCTATGGTTCAAACAATTCGACATACACTTCGAGGCAAACGAGGTCAAATCGGATCAGGCAAAATGTAGATTTGCGCTCGCTCATATAGACGAACGCGGGCGAGATCGCTGATATAATCAGCAATCCGCCCGAAAAAGACTGTTACGAAACGCTGAGGACGGAGATGGTCTGCGCAACGCGTAGCAATCAATTGCAAAGGCTATTCGAACAAGAAGAAATGAGTGACCGGACACTGTCGCAGTTCCTCCGCCACATGAGGACGTTGGCAGGTGAAACCGCGACAGAGGATATCCTAAGGACCTTGTGGTTAAACAGATTGTCACAAGTAGTCCGGACAGTCACGAGCGTTGGACATCCCGTTAGAACAACTAGCAGTCGCGGCAGATAGAATACACAATACAATGCTGAAAGCCGTGGAACCGAACACCATGCGGACTCAGGAGAGCGTACTGCAAATCACGAGCACCACCAGGGATTTCGAGCTGCGTCAGGAGCTGAAGGAGCTCCGAAATCAGATGACCGAGCTCGTCAAGACTTTCGCCCAAACCTCGGCACGATAAACAGCGAGATCACGATCAAAAAGCCGGCGAAGGTCGTAATCGCCAGTATCGAGGGACCACTGCTGGTACCATCGGACCTTCGGCAACAGATCCACGAAATGTCAGCCGCCGAGCAATTTCCAGTCGAGAAATGGAGAGTCCCGACACTAGATACAGCTAATAGTGACGGGCCAAGGACAAGCTGTCTCTTCGTCACCAATCTCGTGACGAAAATGGCGTTCCTAGTCGACACCGTGAGTGCTATCGCGTACATGTATGAAAGGCCGAAGAGAGCAATGTATGCGGCAAATGGGACTACCATAAACACCTATGGTATTAGGACTTTCCGGCTTGACCTTGGACTTCGACGAGCGTCATCGCCGACGTGGCGAAACCCATCGTAGGAGCGGATCTCCTAACCCACTACGGGCTGCTCGTCGACCTCCGACGCCGCCGATTATTGGACACCACGACATCGCTTTCCTCAACGGGGAAGATCGCCAACGGAGAACCGACTTCAGTGAGGACCATTGTGGACGACTCACCGTACCACCAGCTCCTCGCCAAGTACCCGGACGTCACGAGACCAACAGCGAATCCGCGTAAGGTAAAGCACGATGTCGTCCATTATATCAATACGACGCCTGGTCCGCCAGTGCATTGCAGACCGCGTAGACTGGTATCGGATATGTATAAGATCGCGCATACAGAATTTAGCGAGTTAATGAGCCAGGGACACATCCGCCCATCCAAAAGCCAGTGGGCTTCCGCCCTACATATGGTTCCAAAAAAGGATCACAGATGGCGAGCCTGTGGCGATTATCGCGCATTAAATTCACGAACGGTACCCGATCGACATCCGATACCACATATCGAAGACTTTTCGCGAATGCTCTCCGGGAAGAAAATATTCTCGACCATGGACCTGGTACGCGCTTATCATCAGATACCGGTCCATCGTGGGGACATACCGAAAACCGCGATCACAACACCCTTGGATTTGTACGAATACACCGTAATGCCATTCGGATTGAGCAATGCTGCGCAGATCTTTCAGCGGTTCATCGATACCGCTCGACTTTTGTTACGCGTACGTGGACGACATTCTAGTTGCCTCCTGAGACGAAAAAGAACAACGCGAACACTTGGAACAACTGTACGGCGTAGTAGTCAATCCAACTAAATGCGTATTCGCGCAAACCGAAACAAAATTTTTCGGTTACACGGCAGACGAAAACGGGACGAAAACGGAACGAAACCGCTCGCCGAAAAAGTCAAAGCGATTTTAGATTTTCCTAATCCGGACACCGTAAAACAACTTCGTAGATTCCTAGGTATGATGAACTTCTATCGAAGATTCATACCCAAGGCCACGAAGCTGCAAGCTCCGCTGAACCAGCTTTTAAATTAAAACGTAATGCTCCGATCCAATGGTTCGCTGAAGCGCATACAGCATTTAAAGCGCTGAAGGATGCGTTGTTAACACATCAAATCATGCGAATCTCGCGATTATGGTGGATGCGTCCGATTTTGCGTTAGGAGCAACCCTACAACAACAAAAGGAAGGTGCGTGACGACCACTAACTTTCTTCACGAAATTTTTGTCGTCAGCACAGCGCAAGTATAGCGCCTACGACAGAGTTGCTCGCAGTTTATTCCGCGATTAAACAGTTTCGGCACGCGGCGGAAGGACGATCGTTTGCTGTGTAAACCACAAACCGTTAGTATACGCATTCAAACAGAAACCAGAAAAAAGTCACGACAGTTCCGATATCTTGATTTTACTAGTCAATTCACAACCGATATCAGACAAGTCAGCGGAAAAGATAACGAGGTGGCAGACGCACATTCTAGAGTAGAAGCAGTGACCGTGGCACTAGACTACGAACGTCTAGCCCAGTCACAAAATTCAGACGAGGAATTAAAACAACTGCTCACCGCGTCTGGCACTTCGCTGCAATTAAAAATGATCAAATCGATAGGCTGCGATACCGCCGTGTACTGCGACATATCAACTGACGCATACAGGCCGTTCGTAACACCTGCATATCGCAGACAAGCATTCGATTCAGTGCATGGTATAGCACACCCGGGAATACAAACGACAGTCAGGCTGATTAAACAACGTTTCGTCTGGCCGTCGATCGACCGCGACTGTAGGAAATGGCCACAGTAGGAAATAGAAGCTGTACAATGTCAGCGAGCTTAAAGTTAGCAGGCACGTAGTAAGTCTCACAGCAAACTTTTTGCCGCCGTCCACTAGCTTCGAACATGTGTATATCGACCTAGTGGGCCCGCTACCAAGTTCAGAAGGGGAAAGATACTGCCTCGCTTGCGTAGACAGATACACGCGCTGGCCCGAAGGCTTTCCGATCGCTAACATCGAAGCGGAAACAGTTGCGAAAAGTTGTTTCATTGAAAGTTGGATATCCCGATTCGCGTCACCACCAACCAAGGCAGACAATTTGAATCGAGATTATTCAATCAAATCAGCGCAATGCTCGGGACGCAACATTTGCGAACGACGGCATACCACCCAGCTGCGAACGGCATGATAGAACGGTTCCACCGTCAATTAAAAGCCGCAATCAAGTGTCACACCAACGATCGTTGGACAGAAATCCTCCCAACAGTCTTCCTTGGCATAAGAGCAGCGTATCGCGAAGATCTGCACGCATCCTCCGCAGAATCAGGTTTCATTTACGGTCAAACGATACGTCTACCGGCCGATTTCTTCGTGGAGAGCAAAACGAACGACAGGAACAACATGGAACCGGCCGACATGGTTAAGCAGCTGAGACAAACATTCAATAATATCTGACTTGCGGAAGAGTCACGCCATGGAACGCGAAAAACCTTCCAATTTAAAGATCTCAACACGGCGTCTTACGTGTTTATAAGAGTCGACCAAATAAAACCCCCGCTGCAAAACCCGTACAAAGGCCCGTTCCCGGTTGTCTCCCGTAACTAAAAAACATATGTAGTCAGGGTAAGAGGAAGAGACACACACGTGTCTATCGACCGCCTCAAACCTGCCTACGTACTAGATGAAAATAACAACGACGCGCGAACCCGCGATCTAGAATACACAAACGCAAGTGTATACACGATCAGGCCGTCGAGTCAGGTTCCCAGACCGCCTTCAGGTACGCTGGTGAACGCAATGTAAAATTTTTTTGTAAATAATTGTAAATAGTAGTATTAAGCTTAGAATAATAGCGTGGACACTGGCAAAGGGGTGATGTAGCGGCTAGCAGATGTCGGAGAAAAGACGTTTTCTCAGACAGAAAAGAAGAATTTACGACTCACGTGGCGGCGACGCTATTGAATTGAAGAGGCGGAAGACAGTTTTGTAGTGCGTTAGATCGAATGTCCGCGCTTATAGTTTTATAAATACAGCCTCAATAGCATTTCTGCGAAGCGTCGTAAACTCTTTGATTCCGAAGGGCCACCTAGATCAACATCTGGAAAACACTTGAAGAACGTGAGTGAGGCCCAGGGTAAACCCTGGTACACCGCCACAATTCAGGGAAATCGGTCCCGACGAAATTGCAGCCCCACTCTCAGAGAAAATGCGTCGCGAACGCAAGGAGTAGGCGGCGCAATTTCGTGGCAACCTAATTGGCTAAAACTCGAAAACGATTCAGCCAGTTAGGGATGTCCGAGACGGGGACCGAATTTTCCTCGGAGTGAAGAAGCTGCGGAAAAAGAGAGAAGAATTCGGGCAGTCAAGAGTGACGGATAAAAAACTCCACGATACGCCGCGTCTTACGAATGCGCCATTTCGTGTAACATTGTAAATAAACGTGAGTCTACCAATCGTTCACCTCGCACTATCCAGCAAACATCCCCGAAAACTTAACATTTTATCGACCGGTAGCCTATTTATCGGCTTTTCGATTGCCAGCGCTTATTAACCGGTAGCCTATTAATCGGCTTTTAGTTATCGACGGTTTTTGTCAGTGGGTTGCTCTTTTTATAATTTCGCAGCGCCAACGTCGTTAATTATTTGCAGCTTTATACTGACCTCTCCAATTTTTTATCAATTATAATAGTTTTTTACCGTTTCTAATGGATAAAGAACGTGCAGATGAAGAGTTTTGCTTAGATGCTTTGTCAGACTATAGCAGTTATTCAGAAAGAGACAGTGATGGTGATAACAGTGATGATGATAGCAGTGATGATGATAGCAGTGATTCTTCTATCAACATTCGGAAGCCGCGAAAATTATTGCCACTGCAATATAGCGATTCAGAAGATAATGATGACACCGCTGAAGTAAACATCGATACATGGTCAACAAATGACAAATCAATTATTTTGGAACCTTTCGAAGGCAGCCCAGGCATAAAAATTTTACCAAAATCTGAGGCAAGTGTAAGGGACATTGTGAATTTATTTATTGGAGATGACCTTTTGGAATTTTTGGTTAAAGAATCGAATAGATATCACTATCAAGTAACCAATAAATATAAAAATATCCCAAAGACGAAAAAATAGGTGGATATTACGTTTCCAGAAATGAAACGATTTTTAGGTCTAATTGTTCTAATGGGACAAGTAAAAAAAGAGAGACTTCATGATTATTGGTCGACTGAGCAAAGCATCGAAACTCCGTTTTTTTCAAAAGTAATGAGCAGAAGTAGATTTATGCAGATATTGCAGAGCTGGCACTTTTGTAATAATGAAGATATATCCAAATTCAAACAGACTTGTAAAAGTTCAGCCAGTTATAAATTATTTAAAGAAAAGGTTTGTTGATATATATAAACCTTGTCAACAATTATCATTAGATGAATGTATTATTCCGTGGCGAGGAAGACTATCATTCAGAACCTACAATCCTGCGAAAATTGTAAAGTACGGCATACTTGTGAGAGCAGTCTGTGAAACACACACGGGATACATTTGTAATTTTCAAGTGTATGCTTGCCAAGGAATGAAATTGGAAAACACTATTCTAGAAGTTATTGATCCGTATAAAAATCTTTGGCATCACATTTATCAGGACAATTATTATAACAGTGTCCATATGGCTGAAGTACTCCTGCAAAACAAAGTACGGGTATGTGGGACCATTCGGAAAAATAGAGGTCTTCCACAATGTCTTCAAAACATAACCCTTTCAAATGGTCAAGCTACATTTCGTAGAAAAAACGATATTCTGTTACAAATATGAAATAACGGTAAACGAAATGTAAACATGATATCGACGATACATTCGGCGCGAATAATGGAATCCGGAAGTGTAAATAGAAAATCACATATATCAATTCAAAAGCCTGAGTCGATAATTAGTTACAACAAGTATATGAAGGGAGTAGATCGCGCACATCAATATCTGTCGTACTACTCCATTTTTAGAAAAACTAAGAAGTGGACCAAACGAGTTGTAATGTTTTTAATCAATTGTGCGCTTTTTAATTCATTTAAAACGTACACAACATTGAACGGAAAGAAAATGACATACAAGAAATTCTTACACAAAGCGGCACTTTCGTGGATATCTGATGTATCATCAACTGATTCTCAAAGTGACGAAACAGACTCAAATAACAACCTAAATACTTCAGAGCCTACAAGAAGAGCACCAAAATCAGATCATCCAGAAAGATTATCATGCATAAAGAAGCACAAACTTATAAGAATAGTGACAAGTGGTAAAAGCAAAAAACCCCAAAAACAATGTAGAGTATGTGCATCGAAAAATATAAGAAGTCGAACATGTTTCGTATGTAAATTTTGTAATATTCCGTTACATAAGGGAGACTGTTACGAGAGATACCACACTCTAAATAAATATTAAAAAATTTAATTACTGTTACCTTGAATTTATTTCATGAATGTAAGTTAAAAAGGCAATAAATTGTATAAAACAAATACAAAATAAAGTATAAATATCAATAAAATTCCATTACTTTAAAACAAAAGGAATAAGCACAACACAATGCATAGTGAAAATTTAGCCGGTACTGGAAGTAAATTCGGGAATTCGAGAATTCAGACTATAAGCGTGCCTAGCACGACCAAGGGACTTCCCCTTGTAAAAGTCAAAGAGCATTCGATCGCCCTCCCATTTGGGAGCTCAGAGCTTGTCCAGTGAAATCACATTTCCTTTTTACTGTGTAAGCAGTGTGAATTGTGTGAGCTGCTGTCTTCTCATCGATATCAGCTGTGTGAGCTGCTGTCTTCTCATCGATATCAGCTGTGTGAGCTGCTGTCTTCTCATCGACGACATCAGCTGTGTAAACAATGTGAGCTGTGTGAGCTGCCTTCACCTCAAGCACATCGGCAATGGATTGTACGAAGACGTGCCCAGCCCTCGCGCCGAGAAAAGCGGCAGAGGACAACGTTCATCACCAGTTGTAGCCTTCGCGACGACGTGGTGCTTACACTACAATCGGTATAGAGCGACGCTCACTCTCGTGAGCAGCTAGATTGTACATAGCATAGAAATATAATCATTTATTAACATCTATTCGTCTGTGTCAATCCTTCTGTTTTCTTCACTCTATACCTTTTAAACAATGAATTTGCCCAAAAGGTGGGAAAGTATTATAAAAAACAATGGAGAATATATAATTGAATAAAAATATTTCTTTATATAAAAAATTACTCTTTATTTATGCGTCAAAACCCGCACGAACTTGGGACCCAAATAAAATTTCAAGCCAGAGATTATACAATTTTATAATAATACAGTGGGGTCGATGCACTCGATAAAATATTAAGAGAATATACGTCAAGACGATGTACAAGACGCTGGCCACTACCACTATTATTCTTGCATTACTTAGATATAGCGGCATACAATGCGTTCATCGTATGAATCACGAAAAATCCTGGATGGGAAAGTAATAATTCCATAAAAACAAGAAATATTCTTTTGAAAAATTTATCACGCATATTAGTTGATGCTGTGAAGACGACTCCTTATTTCTCTTACTACTGACTCAAACCCAAACTAATGAATCACCTACTCCATCTTTACGCGTATTTGTCACGTAGACCATACCCAAACCCTCCGGCAGACACTCAATAAAGAAGTCTAACTTTTATCAGCACATAATACAGATCTCTTTATTCTCCCAGTCACGAATCGACGGCTATTACGGTAGAATTCTCTTAGATATATTCAGTCGTTCTTATTGGGAATATTCCAATTAATAACTGATTCTCTTTATTCGTTGCAAATGAGGAAAACTGGTTATTAGTTATCGTTAAGTGGATAAAATAGTCTCATCACATATTTTGTGAAGTGAATAAAATTGTCTCGTCACAATGCGAATATAGAAAAATGCAAAAAATTATTTCTGGTCAAATCAATTTCATAAAAATGTTATAAATGCTATAGAATCTACAGGGACGACAATAAAAAAAGAAATTCAAAAATCTGAAAACTTAAAACGATCGAAATATTTTATTTGCATAGACAATGACAATAAATATAGCGCTAAATGTAGCAATTGTCACAATTTTGATTGTAGCAACCATAAATAGAATCTAATGATATGTATTAGATGCAACGAAAATTAATAATATTATTTATAGGTAATAAAAGTAGCAAAAAGTGTTTTTATTTCCTACCCTCCTATTGTTATAATAATCATAATAAAAATGAAAAAAAGAAATAAAATTGAACTAGCTACTAACCGGACACTTGCTTATTTTGATCTAAACAGTTACTAGAACACAGATATACTTTTCCGAATTAATTTTATTATACAATCTTGTTATATGTACTCTATTTACTCTATTTCATAATAATACTTAAAACAAAACTGATATTTAACGTATATGGTCTGAATAAATATTTCAAAATACATCAAAAATATGTATATATGTTTAAAAAATCGAATCGATGTATTTTGGGATGAATTAGACAGAAGCTTTCAGAAATGTGTCCAAAACCAAAAAAAAGACTTATGGAAGAAATTAGAAGAAGCGTGAAAAGAAATTTACTACGAAATATTGTTAAAATTACACGGAAGTATGCCACAGTTAAATATGTTACGCATAAATGAAATAATGTCGAGAAACGACACATCCGTGTCAGTCCCCGCGTAGATTACCGCCGGTGCAGAAAAAAGATGAATGAGCATATGGAAGAATTTGGTGACAAGTTAATATTAAACTACGATTTGTTTTCGTGACAAATTAAAACTATAGACAAGAACTGTCGTAAGTTAACATTTTTTCTTTGTTGTGAACAGTTCGTAGTAGATAAGTTTCTAGTAATACAACATTTACTCAAAGTTCCTGAATTGAATGTAATTTCGAATCTTAATAAGAATCCTACGGGCGTTCGAATCGACAAGACTTCGCATAGTTCTATCCAACGTTTCCTGGACGATCTCCGCGCGAGATGAAATTTTCTCTACTGACTCTTTTTTAAAACGAATTATTACTGGCGACAAAAAATGGATCCCGTGTGATAACAAAATGCGTAATAAACAATAGATGTCACTAAATCAGAAAGCTAAACCAACTCCTAAACCCAGTTTGGCGGTTTGAAAGATATTGCTTTGTGTTTAATGGGATTATAAAGGAATCATTTATTACAAAGTGTTAAATCCGGGGGAAACTATTAATTCTGATGTTTATTGTGAACAAGTGGATCGCTCGAATCAGAACTTAATCAGAAAATGACCAGAAACTGTGAATAGAGGAAAAATTATTCTTCAACGTGACAACGCACGACTTCATGCAGCTAGAAAGACACGTGAAAAAATTTTCGAGCTTGGTCGAGAAGTTCTACCACACCATCCCTGCTCACCAGACATTACATTCTTTGACCAACACCTATTTCGGTCAGTGAAACATTTTTTAAGAAACAAGACCCTTAAAGATGTGAACTAAAATTCTTCAAAAAATCAGGAATTTTATAAAACGGGAATATTTACTCTTTCTTATAAATGACAGAGTGTTATAGATCATGATGGAAACTATATTACTCAATAAAGTACAAATTTTTCCCCTTAATTTGTTTTTATTTTAATATCAAGAAAAACAAACAAATTTTCCGGTATAAGTAAGAGTACCGTCACAGATATAATACGAGCATACAGTAAAGAAAATTGAATTGACGATAGAAATATCACGTGACTCACGCGAGAAATATAAAATTATACGAAATGTAAAATTATACGAAAAACATGAGCCCGAGATAGGTTCGCTGTCACCCTCGCAGGAATGATGCCATTCAGAATACAGGCAAAAAGTCGAAGCAGACACCTTCGAGCAAGTTCGCGCTGCAAAAGCGAGCGGGGCAACATTTACAAAGGCGGACAAGATGCGGAAGCGCAGAAAGGCCATGCAACTTGCACGAAGGGCATAGATACAGGGATTGGAGAATAGCGGAACGGCAAGACCGGTCATTAGAGCAATCGCTCCATACTGGGAGCAATGGGCAACACATGGGACGGGAAAACTCACATATAGAACGACGCAGGTGATAACCGGACACGGATGCTTCGGTGTCTACCTGCGGCAAATAAGCGCCGAAACGACAGCGGCATGTAAACTGTGTGGAGCTGACGCTGACACAGCTCAACACACAGTTGAAGAATGCCCGTCTTTCAGTCAGCAGAGAAGAAGGTTGAAAGATGCGATAGGTCCAGACATCTCGCTGAACGCGATCATAGGCGCACTGACGAGAAGCAGGAGTGAGGAAATTGCCGTCTCGCAATTTTGCGAAGAGACAATCAAGGCAAAAGAAGCGACACAGAGAAGCCGGGAGAGGGAATACCCCGCAAGCCAAGAAAGGCGGCGACAACGACCTAGTCCGAGACGCCGAGAGAGGAGATCCAGAGTCCCAGAATAAAGAAGAGCCCAGAAATCGCGCAGTACCCGTAACTCAGATGAGTTACAGTATAACGATGAACGTTGAGGCAACATAAGGAAAGAAGTGAAGTATCGAAAAATGAACAACAACGTCAAGTAAAGCAGAAGATGCGGTGCGGCTTTATATGTGTTGGCTTTATATGTGTGAATGTATGATATGTATATGTGTCGTATCTGGTGTGTTGTATTTTAAGACTGTGACCGAAGGTCGGTCGTGGAGAAGAAACCATGGTGTAATGATATAAAAAGAGTGTCAGCGTTATAAACTAACTTGTATTTGTTCAAATATATATTTTAGTATTATTTCATCCTATGATCCACTCACATCATATACTA